AGGCACCCCCATACAGCAGGGCCCACCCCATCCCCAGCACTGAGCCCGCATGCACCTGAGCGCATGGTAGCATGGGGACATGCACCCCCCAAACCAGCAAGTCTCCCACCACAGCCACCAAGAGCTGGGTCCATTTCATGCTGTTTTATTTACAATTGTCAAGGGCATTTAGCAGTGGTGTAACGAACCAGAGCAACAGCCCTGGAGACCGAGGCAGCGTGTATCCACAGAACAGGTCCTGCTGGGGCAGCAGCAGGGTAGGCCTCACCAGGGCCGGCTCTAGCATTTTTGCCGCCCCAAGCGCGCACACGCACACACACAAGCCGCGATCGCGATCGGCGGCAGCTCTACCGGCGCTTCATTCTACTGCGGCAATTCGGTGGCAGGTCCTTCGCTCCCAGAGGGAGTGACGGCCCCACCGCCGAACGGCCGGCCGTGCCGCCCCCCTCTTCATTGGCCGCCCCAGGCACCTGCTTGGTACGCTGGTGCCGGCCCTGGGCCTCACACTGCCCACTGCCAATGCAGCTCCCCCAAGGGGAGAGCAGTCTCCACTGCCCACTCGCTCACTGGCCAACAAGGAGCCAATGTGACTGGACCCTCTACTCATTTCACATGGGGCTGCTGGATGGTAACACCTCTGGCACTACTGAGCCAGGACAGACTGGAGCCCTGACCTCAAGGTAAAGGGCTCCCTGCCCCACCCAGGCCATCCCACAGTGCAAGGGCTGCAGGATGGGGAACGAAGTAGGATCCCAGGAGCTGCAGCAAATAGAAGCCCCTCCCCCACCCCGTTCCACGCCTTGCAGGCATGCTGGAAAGAAGGTGGATACTGTGGCATCACCAGCTGGAGTTGGGCAGGCCACATAGCCACTGTGGGAGCAACAGCTCCACCAGCTCTGCATCCCCTGGACCAGCTGCCAGACCTCCCCAAGACGTGTGCTCCGGAGCAATTCCCCAGGCGGGGCTGTTTCATGTGGGTCCACTGCAGCATGGCACCAAAGTGCCAGCTGGGCCCTGAACTGAGAAGCAGCAGCACCAGGATCTGGAGGCCCAGGCAGCGAAGAGCCAGAGGGGAAGGACTCAATCCTATCTTTGGCCAACCACAGCAGACTCTGAAGACGAGGCAGGAGGTCAGTCATCCCTAAGCCGCCAGAAACGCCTGCTTCCCCTGCCAGCGTTGCAACCCATGGAACCCAAGTGACCTAGCTTGGGAGTGTGGGTTGGAGAGGTTATTTTTACGTGTAAACGAGCTAGTGAGTGGCTGGTGAATTTCTCAGATGCTAGAAGGAAATGAAAGGAAAGCTCTGAAAACTCCATCCCACCCTCCGGCTTTCATCCTCTCCTCTTCCTCACGGCCTCCCCAACAGGCTCAGAAGCGCTGGGGGCTGGGCTTCCTGCAGAAGGGAGGGACAGAGGCCTCCCCATATGCCAGCTTCTTTGGCTATGAACACACCCGGGCCTGTAACCCAACCCCCACCTTCCTCTCCCCAGGCACCACTTGTATAGGAACAACCTCACTGCTTCTCCATTCTGTGGGTATTCGCTGCAGTTAACTCGACTGATTGGCACCTGGGCATACACACCTGGGCTAGCCTAATCGGGTGTTAGCCTCGTGTGTTGGTCCACACTCCTAGGGTCAGGGCAGAGTGGCCTGTCACAGTCTATAGCACCACCCTTTGGCACAGGACCTAGCAGCCAGAGTCTATAGTGTTGGGGCACCCCTTATGGGGTGTGGCAGCCCCAGTAGGGGGGCCCAGGCCCACCTGACTCCACCAGGCCCCGACCCAGGGCCCTAACAATGGCATAGCGGCTTGCCACTGACTCGGGGGGGCAGGGTCCTACCGAAACGCTGAGTTTCCCCAGGTGGGAAGTACCACTCCGTCACCCTCCCTGGGTCACTTCCTACCAGAGTCTGTGTTGGGGTTTCCCCATGAGATGTCGGGTCCTCTGTGTTCAGCAGGGCCAGTCGTCTCCAAGGTTTCCTCCAGTCGCCGGGATGCTGGTGGCCCATGGACGGCTTCGATTCCCGGTGCAGTCAGAGGCTGTGGCTAGCCCACCGCCAGAGCTTCCCAGGCAGGTCCTTCCCCTGCAACCTCCAGCCCAGAATGAGCTGGTCTCCCTCCTTTTATACTACTAGAGCACTTGGAGCATGCCCAGTCTTGCCAGGGAGGCGGGACTTCCGCTGTCAATACCACGGTCTTAACCCTGTCTGGGCTAGTGCAGGGTAAGCAGACCCCGTCACACCTCCCCACTGCAAAGCCCTACCCAAGCTACCGGTCCTGCTGCACTCCTCCATGTGTTGCTAGGGGCACATCCCATGGCTCTGAGCCCTGCAGTGAGCTGAGCTGCTCCGTGATTCCTTCCCAGGGAATTGGGGGAGAACTTGTCTGTCCTGGGCAGACTGGGAGAACTGTGGGAAGGCACTGGAGGACTATCAGGACTCCAGTGGGGTAGCCTGCACCCATGCTGGGCTTCAGCCAATACCCCAAATAGGCCAGCTAGGTGAGAGGGTTGTGCGTGTGGACAGGAGCGAGGTTGGGGCAACACCTCAGGAAGAGCCTGAGTTCACTCTGCACTGGAGACAAGCTCTGTGCTTCTGTTATTCCCCTGCTGCTCCCAGCCATGAGTCACTTGCTCAAGGGCAGGGGGTCATGGACAGGTTTCACCCACACCAAAGCCTGCTGAGAAATGCCAGTCTCCAGTGAGCAGCTCGGTTCCTTCACATACAATCCCTAGATTTGCCATGTTAGCCACCAACTCAGTTTCTCCTTGGCCTTTTGGCCAAGATCAGACACAATATCATGCAAAGGTGTGATGTGCTGCCTACTGAGGCCTAGAGCCTGCCCTGGCCCCCTTTCAACAGGCACCTTCATCTCTGATCTTTGGCTGCCAAACCGAGTTCCCATCTCTTGCTATTATACAAGATTTGTAACATTTGGTGATTTCCTTAAAACCCCAGCTCCTGGAGTCACGGGATGATGTTAGGCTCTCAATTTGAATGTCAAAGATCATTTCTAGCCCTTCCTGGTTGCAGAGAAAAACTGGAAAATGTGACCCCAAAAGCTCCAAAAACAACCCCCCCCCCATTTATATATTTATTAAAATCTCATGATTTTGGGGCCCTGACTCTTGATTTTTGAACAACTTGGCCGGGCTATGCTGCAGCGTGACATCCCCTGGGCCTGAATTTCAAAGACAGTGAGCATCCACATTCCCACTGACTCCATTGTAGAATCTGGGCCTCAGGTGTATCAGCCTGGGCATCCAAACACAGAGGCCACTTCTGAAAACACTGGCCTAATGTATGTAATTAGGAACCAAATGTATCTATGTTGAGCTAATGCAGGTCTGTCTGTTTAAATACAGGATCTCCAACAGTCTCTCTCCCCCTTCCCATGTTGCTCATTTTAGACTGTAAATGCTTTGGCTGTGTGTTCATGCTGGTACCTTTTGGTGCTACCACAAGGTAACAGTGATAGAAGGTATGCTCGTGGCCCACTCAGGAAGAGCCCTGACTGTGCTGCCATTCAATGCCAGCCGGGCACTGCTCTAATAAATGGCATTCCTCCTCTCAGACCTCCCCACTCCTTCCGCGCTGAACCAGTTCTCTAGTGGGCATTGGAATAAAAACATCCTGTCATCTGTATAAGCGACTCAAGACCAGTGCACACAAGCTGCCCTTCTGACAAACCAATATGCCCAGGTTCCCTGAGCAATCCTACAATAATACACCACCACAGGCAGCCAGGTACAACCCAACAGTAACCAAGCCTGTATAAGCTGCACAGCTCTGAGCATCCCCTGCGATATCACTAATAGGGGAGGGATAGCTCAGTGGTTTGAGCATTGGCCTGTTAAACCCAGGGTTGTGAGTTCAATCCTTGAGGGGGCCACTTAGGGATCTGGGACAAAATCAGTACTTGGTCCTGCTAGTGAAGGTAGGGGGCTGGACTAGATGACCTTTCAAGGTCCCTTCCAGGTCTAGGAGATAGGATATCTCCATTAATTATTATTATTCTCAATACTTCTCAGTCAATTTACCACAACAAACCACAACCCAGTCTGTGAAGCTCAGTGCTGGGGAGCAAACCAGCATGTGAGTGCAAAGGGGGATTAGGGGCAGCTCTATGTTTTTTGCTGCCCCAAGCACAGCAGTCAGGCAGCCTTCGGGGGCTGTGCCTGTGGGCAGTCCACAGTCACACAGATTTGGCAGCATTTCTGCAGGTGATCTGCCAGTCCCATGGCTTTGGCATACGTGCTGCCGAATTGCCGCCGCAACCGTAGAACCGCAGCCAAGCCGCCCAACTGCCACCTTCTGTGGCTTACCGCCCCAGGCGCATGCTCGCTGCGCTGGTGCCTGGAGCCGCCCCTGGCAGCAGGGGAGAAGTTTGGATGTCAGGGATCATTACAAACAGACAGTTATTTGGCTATGAAAAGCGTGCATAGAATATCAGGGTTGGAAGGGACCTCAGGAGGTCGTCTAGTCCGAACCCCAGACCAATCCCCAGACAGATTTTTACCCCAGTTCCCCCTCAAGGATTGAACTCACAACCCTGGGTTTAGCAGGCCAATGCTCAAACCACTGAGCTATCCCTCCCCCTGCACGGCTGAACCTCCCCTGGCCCCGCCCCCTGGCGCCCAGGACCGGCCCTTTGTGCCCCTGGATTAAGAACGTGGCTGCTGCAGGCCCGTAGCGCTGACGGACGCCCCGCGTGCCCCTTCTCCCCCGATACTATAGGGCCGTGGCCAGCGCGTTCGCCGCAGTGCCTCACGGGAGTCGTAGTCCCGGGAGCGGCGCCGCATGCCCTTGGCCCGACGTTTCTTCCCCCCCAACGCCCCTTTGCGGTCTGCCCGGCGCAAGGCTCGACGGGAGTAGTAGTTCCGAGCACCCCTAGGGAGCGGCGCGGTGCACCCTGGGAGCTGTAGTTCCACGTGCTCTCGGCACCGCGGCGGCCCCTAGGAGCCGAGCGCGGCCGGACTCCATCTCCCAGGGGGCAGCGCGGCGGGGCTGTGGCTCCCAGCCCGTCCTGGACTCTTGGCCCTTGGAGCCCTAACGGGCGTCGGAAGCGGGGCGGTTCCTCCCAGGCCCGGGTGAGTCTCCCAGCAAGGGGCCCCGGGGCGCCCCCCCGCCTGGCCCAGCCCCACGTGGGAGCCCCGGGCTAACGGGCAGCCCCCCGTGTGCTCTCCTTGCAGTCGCGGCGCCCCTGCCCGGCACCATGGACGCCCTGCCCGTCACCTCCGGGGAGCTGCTGTGCCTGGCCTCCAGCCTGGCCTTCTCCGGCCTCTTCTATTACCTGTACAGGAAGAAGGCCAAAGCGCTGGCTCGGATCCAGGTACCTGGGGCGCCCTGGCCCTCCCCTCCTGCCCGCGCCCCAAACGCTGCCCAGCCCAGGGCCGCCTTAACAGGTGTCCAGGTGCCCAAACAGGGCCAGGGGGGGACCCTGCTCCCCGCCCCGCAGGGCTCAGCCACGGGGCCTACAGATCCCAGCCTGCAGCGCTCCACCTCCAGGGATACCAGCCAGCACAGCCCTGGCTCTGGCCGTCGTGTTTGCACCCCCTCGTGCCGGGAATCCCGCCAGGTGCTCTGCGTCGCTGTCTCTGGCACACCTCGGTGGCCTTCGCCTGGCTTGGCGCACTTGTATCCTTCTAGAACTTGGTTTTGAGTTGGGCTGGCCACTGCATGCTGGGACCTGTAGTCTCCGAAGTGCGTAGGGCCTGCTGGGCGTGATAGTCCCCGTGGGCCGTGTCTCCTTGTTAAGAGAGAAGGATGGACAGACCGTACGGTGGGATTTGGCAGGTCACGTCTGCCCCGATCGCTCAGTCTAGACCCCTCTGCAGTTCTGCTCGCAGGATTCCTCGCTACCCACCTGCACATCTGGGAAAGGAGTCTGTGCCACGCTATGCTTCCCCAGCTATGCCTGGCACAGGGCCCGCTGCACAGGGATGGGTCTGATGTGGGAAGCGTACGGACAGAGACGCTGCCAGTGGCTAAACGCAGCAGAGCCACGCAAGCGCTAGAGCTGGATGGTGGCTGTCAGCTTCACGGAAAGATGAGACTCCAGTAAGGGGCCCTATTCCCCTGCAACATGCCCTAATCATCCTGTTCCTAGGGGCTGACATTCCAGGGAAGAGGGAGGTACCCACTGGCCTCTGGAGGTGGGGCACAACCAGGCATGGGCGGAGTGGGTGTTTCCCCCCAGCAGGAGCTGAGTAGCAGCTCACTGAGATTGAAAGTGGCTGAGGCTCACTCTCATTTCTGGTTTCTCCTTCTGCAGGAGGCCCCAAAGCTTCAGGTAGATGATGGTCTGCCTGACCTGCTATCTGCCACCAGTGGCCAGTGTCTGCATTATGTTGCCTTAGAAGGTAAGATCCCTGCACATGTATCCAGCTTGGTGCACTGGGGCCCATCTCTCAGCGACTTTCACAGCAGCAGCATGCCGTCTCCTGGTGTGTTTGGAATCTCAATTCTAGTAACTGGGGAATTACAGTCTGCAGAGCAACATGTGGGTAGCCATTCAGAAACACCTCCTGGGATGTCCTCCCTGGGTCCCAGAGGGGAGACCGCCCCTTGCTGAATCAGCTGAATTTTTGGAGGGGGAGGGGGACTCCTAGTTAAGCAGCTATAGCTCTCCCAACCCACTAGTCAAACCTAGTCTCCTACAGGACTGTGCTGAATTATAGCCCCAGGGACCCTGGGGGAATTCTAGACGGCTCTGGGAGCTGGAGATGCTCCATGAACCAGGGTTTGCCTCGCAGAGATCACACCCCCTCCACATTATCCATAGGGATTGTCCTGCCAGCAAAAGCAGCTCTGTCCAGCCAGCACCATGAGGAGCTGCAGGGAGTGATCCAGAAACTAGTTCTGAAGGAGCATCAACTGATCTGGAACAGCCTCGCCCGGAGTTGGTGAGTGGGCATTGGGGCAGACCCAGGAGGGAGGGAGGGGCTAACAGTTGGGAAGAGAGGGGCACCAGCAGCAGGCAGTGTGGGGGCGCACATGGGGCCAGCAGATCTGTGGTGCATGGCAGAGCTGCACCTATGGCAGATTCCCTTCTTGCAGTGGAGGCAGTGTCCTCTGCAGGCCTGGGTTGGTTTGGATTCGTTCTGCCTGGGCTGGGGACTCAGCTACATCAGAAGCCCACAGACTGTGCCCCAGGGCCATTCACTAGTGGGGTAAGGTAGGAGAGCAAGGTTAGCCTGTGGGGTGAGGGGCAGACCAGGGATCTAGGGCCTTTGCAGGCCCGTTTCTGAGCCACCGGCTCAGCTGCTGCGCTCTTGATTGGTTGCAGGAATGAAAGTGAGCGGGTGGTTTCGGAGCAGGTGTACACGGTGCCCTTTGCCCTGGCGTCCCCCAGTGCTGAGGCAGTGACACGGGTGAGTGTCGAGAGCCCTCTACGGGCTGTCCGGCTGCCCCTGGAGACTGTGTTTGAGCGCTTCCAGCACCCAACCCACGGCTTCAAAGACCTGATCAGTCACTACCTGAGCGGGGAGAAGCCCAAGGGCCTGCTGGAGACAGAGGAGATGCTGCGAGTGGGGGCAAGCCTGACTGGCATCGGGGAGCTGGCCATGCACCCAGATGGGACCCTCCACCTGCAGCCCCCAGCTGATGGGTCCAACTACTTCCTGCACCTGGGGGACTGGCAGACGCTGCTGGCGGAGATGGAGTCAGTGAGCAGCTTCTGGAAGGGGGCGGCGGTGCTGTGCGGCTTGACAGGCGTGGCGGTGATCCTGTACGCCCTCTGCCAGGCCTATCAGCAGCGCCGGCAGAAGCAGGAGCAGGAGCAGCAGCGGCGGGAGTTCGAGGCCCTGTGGGGCAGCGGGAACACGGCGACTGAGTCTGGGGAGGATGCGTCGGAGGACGCCTGCATCATCTGCCTGACACGGCCCCGCGAGTGCGTCCTGCTATGCTGCGGCCATGTCTGTTGCTGCTTCCGCTGCTACGAGGCTCTGCCTAGCCACACCTGTCCCATCTGCAGGAGCCCCATAGACAGGGTAGTGCCCCTCTACCAGGCCTGAGGGGGAGAAGGGGCTTCAAACGGTACCAGGGCAAGAGCAGTGAAGTCCCTGGCACTAGGCAGCACCACTGTGCCCATAAAACCCCAGCAGCTTGGGGGGCAATGTGTGATCCACAAGGGGTTAACCCCAGCAGCTTAGGGAGCAGTGTGTGATCCACAAGGGGTTAACCCCAGCAGCTTGGGGAGCAGTGTGCAAGCCACAAGTGACTTGGGATGTGAGCTCACAACCATAGGGTTGAGGGGGGGTGGTGCTGCAAGCACCGCCTCCTAGGCTGGGTTTGGGGGTGTGCTCATGATCCCCCCTCTTCGGTGCTGGTCACATGGTGGTTGGAGTATGTGGCCTGAATTAGCATCACTCAGCACGAAGCTCTTGCTGAGTTTCTCCCCCTCACCCAAGCCTCATAGCGGGTCTGTTCCCAGCAGTCCCAGCTCTGCTAGGAGAGTCTGATGGGAACTAATTTCCTCCAGGTCTCTTCCTGGGCCCGGCCTTCTCCGTGCTGACCCCAGGAAGAGGCCGACTGGAGCCCAGCAGGCCTGCGGTGCAATGCTCCGTCGGTGGCTGGGGATGCAGTTTGGACATGGCGTTTTTGCTCCTGCAAAGGGGCCAGATTTTACACTAGAGTTTATTTTTCTAGCACGTCTTTGTCACTACTGTGCAGCTAACGCGCTGGGGAGAGGCTGGCGGAAGCTGGGGGGAGACGGGAGGTTCAGGGTAGTTTGGGGCTGTGGGTTTGAGGGCAGAGAGGGCCCGGCTGAGGGGGCAGCATGCATTGCACAACTGAACAGCCAGGGTTGGTGCCACCTGTGCCCGATTTCCTCTGGCTAGGCCCATGCAGCATGTTACACAGGCAGCAGCAGTTTCTGGTGTTTGTGTGTGTGTGAGGCAGGGGATGTTTGTCTTTCCCTCATGGTCTCCTGCGTGAGGGTATTGAATTGAAGAGGCTTCCCCTGTGAGTGAGGCCAGCAGCCGGGGCCCTGTGCCCCCCTCACCATCCAACTCTTGAACCCCCTTTACACCCACATGTGGGAGTTGGAGGCAGTGCCACAGCTGAAGCATGGGAGGGTGGATTGCAGCAGCTCTGGCTCCTGACCGCCCCCAGCTGTTGGATCCCAGGAGGAGGACAGCCCTCTGCTCCCCTGCTTAAGCTGGAGGACTAGAGGAGCCACAGTGGAGGCCCTTCCCAAGGATTGGGGTGAGTTATGTTTGGCCCCCCAATTAAAGTGCTGGTGGAAGTCTGCCTGCAAGCCCTAGGCTGCCTGGCTGGAGCGCTGCCTTCCTACCCAGCTCCCAGGACGTGCCATACCTGCAAGGGGGACTCCCTGAATTAATGTTGGTCATTATTTATAAAGAGAAGGATCAGAGGCTGGGTTTGTGTCTTTCTTTAAGCCACACCCTTGTAAAAGAATGGGCTAACTTTTTAAGAGGGGTGTGGGGGGACATAGCTGCTGCGTGGATCACCTAGACAGGCTCAAGGGGGAGAAATGCTCTACCACAGCCCAGGACTGCAGGGCTGTCACAGGATCGCTCTCTCAGGAGGCGAGTTACTCATTACAGAGCCTTGTACTCACCCTGCCCCACTTACTAGCTGGTTTTCAACACTCCAGCCCCACAGGTACAAAACAATTCAACAGCCCCAGGCAACATAGGAGTGCAGATGAAACCCCAGCGGGAGGGGAGATCCCCACAGGTACTTACCAGCAGGCAGGGAGGGAGATGTAGCCTGTTACAAAATGGCTACTTTAGGGATGCAGTAGTTTGGCTCACCCATATTTAAAGGGCCAGCCCCAGAAAGGCATGCCGGGAAAACAGCTCCTCTAAAAGGGGACCCTGCATTGAGGAAACTTAGGACATGTCTTTACAGCATAGTTACCCTGAGTGCTTAGTGCCTGGGTTAGCCTAGCCCAGCTGTGGGTATCCCCACAGCAAAGCCCTTACCCATGGTACTGCGGCGTCAGTGTTTCCCCACTCACCTGTGTGTGGCTGGGGGCAGAGCCCACGGGGCTTTGTGCTGAGATGCTCCAGGATTCTGGTCCAGCCAACAGCAAGAGACCTTGGCTGTCCTTGCGGGGTGTTTGTAGGCAGGCACTGGAGGATGTCAATACGAGTAATTTTGCAAAGTGGGCAGGTTCCAGCCCAAGTTAAACCAGGGCCCTGGGCTCTAACCCCCCTGCTCCCCAGCTGTGTAAACGCCTGGGCTCAAAGCCCCACCAACCCTGGGTCAGGTGTTTGGGTTTTTTTGTGGGAGGTGGTGTTGGGCGAAAACAAGTCAGAGCCTGGGATCACTGGTGGTGACTTACCCTTAGCAGAGAGCAGGTAGTCACTGAGGATGGTGCTGCTGGGGAAGCTTGTTGCTGTTCCATCACACTCCTTCCCCAACCCCCCCTTTGCATAGTGATGATATTTCCTTGGGCCCCCTCCCTCTATAGAAGCTCCCCTTCCCCTGGTGGTCTGTCCCCCAGGGGCTGGGGGGTCCCAAGAGCTCCCCACTCGGTGGCTGCGCAGGTGGAGCGATGAGTCAGGTGCAAGAGGCCAGGAAGTTCCCCAATGGGTTCTGGCTCTTATGTCCTGGGTCTGTGCCGGTGCTGCTGGGCCCTGCTCGTTACTAGCCGCCTACTCAGTCACCTCCTCACAGCGGTGAGTCTCAAAACCCCACAGCGCCTGCGACTGCAAACATCATCTGGGCACCTGAGGCTGGAACGTACCTGCCTCCCTGGAGCAGTACGGAGGGAGAGGGTGACTCCTGCGGCCACAAACCCCACGTTCCTGGCGCAGTGTGGGGGCAGCAGAGTATGGACTCCCACCCTTTCCTGAGGGAGGCTTAGCACAGGAGCGATTGGAAATTGGACCTGGCCCAAGCACTGGGGTGTTCTGGGACTGAGCGATGGGTAGGGGGCTGGTGCAGCGAACACAGATCTCAACTGCTACTCCCGGCATGGACACTTCCGTGCCTTCTCCCGCTCCGTGCGTGGGATCAGGCTGAGAGCCTGCAGGAATGAATGAACATTTTAGCTCTGCAATGCACTAATGGCAGTCTCGATTGCGGAAGCACTCCTGGCTGCCTCCAGCAGGGGGCGTGAGGGGACAGTGTTTGCAGAGGGATGGCAGGAGGCGAGGTGCAGTGGGCCTAGGGTTGGATTCATAGGGACGTGGTCTTCAGCCACTGCAGAGACAGAGGGGGAAAAAAAAAAAAAGACAGGGAATCTGAGGATGGGCCCCCTGAGTGTAGGGTGAGCCACGCAGAGACAGAACTACTCACCTAGAGCAGGGCTGCGGCCGTGAGCCCCTCTCTAAAGGTGCTGGCCACTCGATTGATCCTTCATTGTGAGCAGCCAGGTCCCGTCCTGTTGTGGGCCCCTAGAGCAGGGGAACCCCACTGATCCCCCAGCCTTAGGGCCTAGGTCCTGCCTGCTGAGAGTTCCTATAGCAAGGGAGATCAGGGCAGTGGGTGCATGGGATGGGGCGTCCCATTGCTGAGGCAGGTGGGGAAGTAGCAGCTCCCTCCCCTGTCCTGACTGGGGGGCATGACCTCTCTGCCATTGAGCATGGCCAGCTCCAACTCCCTGCGCAGGTAACTCTCCCTGCTGCTGGCGAGCAGGAATGGGACAAAAGCCACATGGGCCAGCAGCGGGGCCCAGCCCTGCAGCCACCGAAGGAGGGGATGGAACTGGAGCAAGGTTTGGAAACGCCAAGCTGGCTCTTCCTGTCGCTATGGCAACCCCACACCAGCCTTCTCCACTGCTGTTCCTGCTCACACACTCCGGTTGCCTTGGAAACCCATCCCAGCGTGTTTGGCATCTCTGGAGCTCATCGTTTATTTTCATAACACGGAGGCACCTGGGGGGGGGAGGGACACGGAGCCACAGCCTGGTGTTGGCCCTGAGAGGGGAGTGGCTGCTCCTGGGGCCGGTTACTCACAATTGATTTGTTTCTTAAAGCCCCAGCTCCCAGAGTCACATGAGCAGGGGAGAATCTCAGCTTTTAAGTTCCTAGGCCCCCCCGGGTGCAGAGAAGAAAATCTTGAAAACATGATGCCGAACTGGGAAGGCAATGAAAAGAGCCCAACATTGCTTATTGATTTAAAGTCTGATGGGTTTGGGGGTTTGTTTGGTTTTGGGGGGGTTTATTTATTTAATTATTTATTTATTGGGCCAATCTGGTCATTTTTTCAGGCCTGATTTTTTTTAAATGCAGGGGGCTGGTAGGCCTGGCTTTAGAATGCTGTATGTCATTTGTGGAAAGCTGTTGCAACAGACCCCTGAATATAGCCTAAGGACTCATGTGGAATCTACCTGAGTCTATAGGGTTCCCTGGATAGATCCAGCTTCTTGGACAGACCATTAGTCAATCACTGTTACTTTCATTCTCTCCTCTCGCTGCAAAGGCCTATGGGTAATTGCATGTAGCCACATGAACTGCAACACAAATGTTCAGTAAGATCAAAAGAACCTCCCACTCCCCCAGGGTCTTCCCTGCCAGCCCTTTGTAGAGGGAAACCCTCCCCAGTATGGCCCCTCCACCCCCATCAGACCTGCCCAGCCCCCAGCCAGACAAAGGCCTCCCCAGCACTGCCCCAAGACTGGAATGAACGCCCCCCTCCCAGGAACTATTCCCCATCACAAGCGTCACCATCTCCTGCTCTAAGTGCATGGTGTATTTCTTTGACCTGCCTTCTCTAACAAACCTACAAGGGAGGGGGAGAGTATGAGAGATATAACAGCACTCTGCTGCCCTAACTTCTCTTCCTGGGGAGAGGATGAGGGAACAAACACGCAACTGATGTTGGTCATGTCGCTCAGTGCATGACCAGAAGGTACAGATACTACAGTGATAAGCACGGCCTAAGAACTTGTATAGAACAGAATAGACTCAGCCCTGCCCATGCCCCTGCAGGGTGAAGGCCTCTTTACTGGAAGGTTTGGGCTGGTTCTGGCTGCACCTGGGCAGCATCAGTGACTAAGAAGCCCTCTCAACCTCACTCCGTCATGGTTGCCCCTACCAGGATGGCCTCACTCCCTTTCAAACCAGTTGCTACAAGGCCCACCCCCAACAAGGTGGTGGCTCTGACTTCAGAGGGTGCGGAACACAGTTTATGCAGCTGAGAACATGGGACCAGTGCTCTGAGAGGCGAATTCCCCAGAGAGCCACAGGGGCCAGTTGAGTTCAGGCAGTGACTGAGCTTCGGAGGTAGCAGAGGGTGAAAAGGGCCCTTGCCCCTGGATCCATGACACCACACCAGGCCAAACCATGAGCTATCACTCCATCACAGGGCACCTTCTAGTCCCAGCAGTGTGTACAGGACAGACCCCAGCCGGGTCCGTTCTATCCTCCAGTTTAATAACTGAGGCGCTGTGGAGTGGGGAGGAGAGGAGACCCAGTTCCCTCGGGAGTTAAATCTCTCCTCAGCATTAGCCTCCCAGCGTGAGGTATTTCAGGA